TGTATAGCTCATATTCTCAAATCACAATTTGTCTCAGAGGGCTTTAACAAGGTGTGACATCCTCTGCCCTTAACCCTCAACAAGAGTAAGGACAAACTACAAAAAAAAAAAACTTTTGACAGAGACAAAGAATAACGTAGAAACCTCAGAGAGAGCCACATGTGGGGGATCCCTCTCCCAGGACAGACAGAAGTGCAATAGATGCCACGTGTAATGGAGAACGTCAGAATTTTTTTTATTTACAGCACTGGTTAGAATAAACAGTTTGTAGCATGACGAAAGGTAAATTAATTGAGAAATTATTGTCAGTAATGGGACAGTATCTAAGTAGACATATTGTATATCAAGCAGTCTTGTTGTAATCATAGTCCACGATCAGGATACAGAATCACGATCGGAGGCTGTCATCATCATCAAAAAAAGATGCTAGCATGCTAACAATATTTTTTTAATGTTGTTGTAAAAAAATGACCACAATACATTGAAATAATGTTAAACTAAGATTCTACAATCATTTTTGTAATTTTTAAATCCTTAATAATGGACAAAATACTACATTTGTGGTGATTTGCAAGGCATTCTGGGAAAGGTCCATAGAAATGAAGTGAGGGTGGGAAAAATCTTATTCTGAGGCTTATAAAGCCCTACCCTGGGACAGCCTACCCCTACAAGTGAATGTGCAAAATGAAGGGGAAGGGCTAAGGGGTAGGGCCAAGTGCTGAAATGGGATTGAGCCTAAATCTATTCTCTGACCTGATTCTGATTCGATTTTTTTTATTAAATCAGTATATTGGTTTGACAGGGAAGCTGTGTGAAAACAGGAATATAATATTGATTCAAAAAAAATAATATATATATGTATAATAATTAATAAAAAAGATCTGTTGTAATAATAGGTGATGTAGTACTGGCATGTTTTCTTCTGATGGTGGATTAGAGCACATTTGTTTATTGCAATATTATACAATATGCAGCTTGCCAAAATATTCGACATGCTGGCTCTGGTTTGTTGAACACTTCACCACCTTCTGTGGTGGCACACTGCTACCATGGCACAAGTTTGCTTATTGTATGAGCGCCCCTGTCTTAAATGCCAGTTGACTTAAGGTGTCATGAGCCAGGAAGATTATGGTGAATTTTAGGGAAATTATCTGAAATAGCTTGCATGGCAACCATTGACATGTTCAGCCAGCCATCTCTTTGTGTGCCTTGGCCAACAAGTATGCCAACTGCACTATTTTATTATACTGTATCTATACTGCATCATATGAATAACTTTACAACTATATTACAATTTTAATTGCTGAGTTAAACAGAAAGGTGAGGTGTAATTATATATTATTTATAATTGCTCTAAACTAATGAAATGTACAACCCGTTATGGAAAAACTTGATTTAAATAACAACAGACCTCAGGCAGCTGTGGCTGAGGGGTAGAGCGGAGGTCCAGTCATCCTCCTTTAACCGGAAGGTCAGTGGCTCAATCCCCAGCCTTCCCCATCTGCATGCAGAGGTGTCCTTGGGAAAGATGCTGATCCCCGAATTGCCCCTCATAAAACAAAAAAAGTGCTGCTAATAGATGCACTGTATGAATGTGTGTGTGAATGGGTGAATCAGTGCTGAGTGGTCACCAAGACTAGAAAAGCACTATATAAATATATTTACCATTTACTCAGGAATTCTGTTTGCACTTGTAAAAAAACTCAAAATAGGACAAAATTTGTAAATACAGCAAATTTTCTAAGTCACTCCTCCCGACAACTTCTGAAAAATTCTGTTCAGACAAACGGGCCACATGCAAAGCCCATTGTCTTAAAATGTGTTCAGTACCTTCACAATTTCAGTGTTTGAAGTTGTAACTTAAATATACAGCATCCAGTCTGTCACGTGCTGATTACTACGTACGTGACATAAATCGGGTACTGTCCCAGCATCAGCTACTTTACCACTTGGAGAAGCTAAGAGTCGGCACTGGGTGGGGGTGTATTGTGAGATATTGTAGAACAGCACAGACAATGAACGAGCTGAAGTGGATAGTGCAGACTAAGTAACGTGTGTTCATACTGTTCATATGGCTGCATGGATTAAGGCTACATCCATACCAATATGTTTTCATTGTAAAACGTAATGATACAGACATTTTAGCTCTGTATCACTGATAATATCCAAACATACTAACACACCTGAAAACGTATATTACGGGACCATTCTCATTCACACTGGGCACATATGTGCTTAAACAGGAAGCAAATTGTCTATTCTGCAGCTAGTATGTGATGCCTGAACCGTGCTCATTGCTGCTCATGGCTTTGAACTGCCTCCGTCTATTGAGGGCAAAAGAGCTTGAAACTGCAACTAAATCTTAAAGGCACTTCTCAAATATCAGATATCTGAATGTAATGAGGTCAATTTACCAATTTGCAAGACTGTGTCTGAAAGACATGAACTTCAACACAATATCAAATTGTCTGGTGACTAGTAATGCGAAGCGAATAGAGTTCCAAACCCCATGTACAGGGTACCAGTAAAAAAGTTGAATTTTAGTGCTGCTTATTTGTTCCAAAAAATATATAATTCATTTATTTTTGCAAGGAAAGGCTACCTGCCAGGAGCTTTTAATTAATCTGCCAGGATCTGTCTGTGTGCATCTCAAATCAATGTAACAAGCTAGTGCTTTGAATGCACAATTGACATCCAAGCAGCAGGGTGAAAGATGGATCACAGTAAACAGTTAAAAGTGTGGCAATACTTTGACAAGGAAAGTTACTACATGTCTAAGTGGTGGAAATCCAGGGTGCTTATTAGCTGCAGGTCAGGTTGTACCTCTAAACTAGGAAAAAAGTAAAGGCAGCCTGGCATTGAGCTGGAGCAACATACAGTGTTTGATGTCTAGCACTTCCTCAAAGAAACCTAGGTACAATGAGCCGCGAGACACCAGATAAGTGTTGAATGTGCTTTAGTTCTCACTTTATGAACTGATTTCTTTTATTATTATTCCATTATGTCCTACAAAAAAAGAGCAACAACTAGTATCTCAAAATGCATATAATGTTATGTTTATGTTCAGTTAACCCTTTAGAATAGTTCTCTGTTTGATCATCAAGCTTTTGGGCCACGCTGTGTCACGGTTATGGTAGTATCTTATCACGTTATGGTATTTTCTGTCACAGGTATTGTATTTTGTCACATAATGATATTTTCTGTCACGGGTATTGTATTTTGTCACAGGTATGGTGTTTTCTGTCATGGTTATCGTATTTTGTCCTCTTTTAGAAAGAGTGTTTTCAGTTCTAGTTTAAATTGCATTTTTGTTACGTTTGGAATTCATGTTTTAAGTTTGTTCTATGTCCCCTCTGTGTCCCTCGCTTGTGTCTCCCTTCTGTGTTCTCTCATGTTCCCTTCTGCGTTCGTGTATGTTCCACCCTGTGCTTCTCCTGTGTTCATCCCTGTCATGGTTATTGTATTTTGTTCTTGTTTTTGAAGAGAGTTTTCAGTTCATGTCTCAACAGTGTTTTTGTTACGTTTTGTATTCATGTTTTAAGTTTGTTCAGTGTTCCTCTGTTTCCTGTTTTATTTTATAGTCCCTGCTCCCGATGTGTTTTCCCCCTTTGACTTCCTGCCCTCATCATGATCACCTGTTTGTCTTGTACCACCTGTCCCCAGTTACTCATTAGTTCAAGTGTGTATTTAAGTTATGTTCCCCCCACGTGGCGGTTGGTACGTCGTCGTTCCTCGTCCTGTTCATGTAACTCGTCGTTCCTCATCATGCTCATGTATCTTGCCATTCCTCGTCATGTACTTGTGTCCCGTCACCTCTCGCCTCGTTCCTCGTAAGTTCTTTCATGTCTTTCCCTTTGCCATTCACCTGTCTTGCTTGATCTCAACTTTTGTTTATTGAAGATTCTTTTGTTACTTTTACCTTTTAAATAAAATACACTTTTTGTTAAATATTTAGTTCTGTGTCTTGGTCCTTCCCTTTCCCTTTTTCCTACCACGTCCCCCCCAATTTTCACCAGTTACTTATGTCATCAGACTTCTGCAAAGTCTCATGTGATATCACATTAATTTGTTACTAAACTAACTAATGTTATTGAAAAGCAGTTTGTGATAACTGCATGGTCAGAATGAATGAATGAATGAATTTAGATGGTAATAAAACTCAAATAAGAATTGTCTATTCCTTCATTTCTGTGCATTCAGCATCTCTGATGCAACAATGTTGTCTTGGAATTAAAAGTCAGAACCCAAAAGAGCCAGAATTAGTAATCAGAATCAGCTTTTCAGTCTAATCTGATCCATATCCTACAACCATGGCTGCAGCAAGAGTTTTAGGAAGGGAGGGGAAGGTTGTCAGGTCATGTCGAATGTGATTTTAAAATAGCAATTCCAAAGTCCTTGAAGTATCTGGTGGTGCTTTAAAAAATATAAAAACAATACATTTTAAACTGGGCCTTACACTGGCCATTGAATACCTACCTTTACCTGTCTATTGACTACTCTACAAAACTCATCAACTCTTTTTACACAATTTGACTGACTGACTGTTTAAGACTTCAAAATATGTATTAAAGCCAATAACCAAAACCTGTTCTGTGATTATTTAATTTTAATCTGTCCTCAATTACACATACTTAAAAAGGTGTGGGTGAGGCCACACATTTTCCCCTGTTCAGTTCAACCATTTTTTCTTTTAGGCCTTAAGTTCCTTTACCTATCAAAACATTGTCACAAGGGTCATTCAGCTGCTGTGGATATTTCAATCATTTCACATGATTTCCATCATCAAGTATTTAAAAATATGCCAAACTTATTCTTTTAGGTTTACTACATTAAAGATTTAGAGGTTGGTGTAAGCAACAGTGAGCATTTGGTTGTGTACCTTCAGTCACCAAAGCTGTAAATGAATCACCAGGGGATGTTTTTCAGTGAGTTCAAGAAACAACATTAAAAATAGTGACTTAAGACCAAAGTCATGTGTTTACAAATCATGAGGCAATTTAACAAGATGAAATAATCTGATGGGAAGGGATAAAAGATCCGGATCAATAACGGCCAGAGTTCTGATTAGAGATCACAACAAAATCAAAGAAAAAGTCCAAACTTAAAATTCATGGTTAAACATAAATCCTAGAGATATAGAGGATAGTTGTTAGTTAATATCTGGTCCAAGTAATCTTCTTACACATCTCTCTCCATCTTTGTGGTATAGTGCCATTTAGCTGTGAAAGGCTGACAACCAAGGTTCTTTCATTCTGACCTTTATGGCTGCCTCATAAGCTTAGAAAAAAAGGTAACACTGCAGTACAATGAGGAGCTTTTTTTTTTTTACATGGTCCAGCACAAAATTATTACAAAAAATAATGTCAAAATAAAAACAAAAAAATATATACACACACACCTAAGACCATAAACCTGCATGGACACACTCGTACTGTAATGGCTGACCCTGCTCCTTGTAAAAAGTAATGAAGGAGAGACTGAGTCATGCTCTCCCATTGAGGAGCAGCTTTACTTTTTCACAAAGTGCAACTCAATGGGAAAAAAAGCTAAATAAAAATATACACATCTCCAGCTGATGAAATAATGTTTTGTTTAAAAAGGACAACATTTTGTAAACAAAATTAATAAAGGCATGCAACAAACAATGTTGAATATTTGTATACCTTTCAGCTAGGAAGAAACCACTCACTCCTCAGACCAAAGGAAGCTGCCAAAGTAAAATTCAATCCACTGGAATATCACTGAAATATGCCCAAGCATTTAAAGGCCCACATTTACTTATTTGTGTTCTGTGTTCAAGAGGCTACTATTTACATACATGTTCATGCGGATTCAGCAGCAAAATAGCAAATTACATTGATTGATCGACATAGACGACATTTCCATACATCCTGAATCAGCGAAAATAAATATCATGTATCAAAATAAAAAACACACTTTGCAAATATTAAAGATGACCTTGCTCTGATCCCTCCTTTTAAGGGAATATGGTGGCTTAACAACATAACATGAAAAAGAAAGTGAGACAAAAAGTCTTTTGGCTTGTAAGGTGACAGTAATACATAAGAAATGAAGCAGTGCAGAGCCATGAAGAGGGAGCTGTGGTTTTTCCACATTAAGGCTTTGCAGTAAACTTCAAGAGCTGAGTTGCTGCTGCTCTCCCTAACCTAAGCCAACTTGTTGCAGTTCAGCCAATATAGACAAAGATGCACGCACGCACGCACGCACACGCACACACACACACACACACTTTTGCCACTATCTCTCCTTTTTTTCCATTTTTTTTTTTTCTCACTAGGTATTCTTGGCAGCATTACATGGTGCATCTCCTCACCCCTCCCAGCCTATGCTCCTCCTGATGGGGTGTAGAGTAGGGTTGGGTGGGTCAGTTCAGTAGTCTGTGATAGGGACAAGCTCAGGGTTCAGGTCCACCGTGATGTTCTTGTAGAGGCTGCTGAGGGAGATGTGGGGGCTGTAATGGAGATTGTTGAGGCCGTCTAAGTGTTGCCGCTCTTTGGAATACCTCAGCAGTTTATACCTAAAAACACAGTCATACAGTTGTTATATCAATATTTACCCATTGCACCTGCCCTGCCTCTACTCTCCTATAAGACACAGTTTACTGCTTTGAGGTGCAACTGTGTCTAGTATTGATCACATTCTGGATGAAAATAGAAGTTTAGAGTGCAGTGTTTCCACTATTGATGAAAGAACACATCAATACTTTATAATGACAAATTGTAAACAGAATTTTTGAATGTCTTTGCTAATTTATAAAAGAAAAAATTGAAATATCACTTTGACATTAGTATCTTGACTATGAAATTGTACTGAGATGGCTCTCATTTCTCTTGATCTTCTTTGAGATGTACACCTAGATTGTAGTCCACCTGTGGTAAATTCAACTGAATGGATATGATTTGGAATTAACTTTCTGTACTTAAGTCTTTCTGAATGCACAGTATATTTTACATATCTGCAGATCCTTTCCAAAGCATATGGTGAAAGGACCTTTTTGTATCTCATATTGTCCTTTTATCACTGCAATATTGATGGCCAAAACATGCTGTAAAACTCACAAAAAGTTGCACACACATCAAGTATGGTGAAAATGAATGTTTCATGGATATTCCCAGATCATTTTTGCAAAAATGATCTGTTCTACTTTAAATTTTGTCAGTCTAATCTTAAGACTTGTGCAATAGAGTATCAGTGTTTTTTTAATGAAAGAGAAAGCATTATAACTGACATTTATGTGGTCAAATCTCTACCAAACATTACATCTGAACATATCTATAACAATATTCAGTCCCAGTCATTGCATCAATTAGTGGTAAAAATTAAATGACATAACTTGAATTTGCATAGAGATGCATTAGAGCATGTTAAGTTAAAACAGCTAGCAATGTTAGCAACATAGAGGAAAATGTGCACTGATGGGGAGCTACACCATGATGTTAATTTGGGGCTAATCTTGAAAGAGCTACGGGAATTCCGAAAGAGTCCAGCCAGCAACTGAGTATTCTGTATCCAGTCAGCGGAGGATGTATTGACGGAGCTGGTGAAGCTTTAGATGCAAGCAGAAGCTAAAATTACTGACCTGGAGGGGCGTTCACAACACGACAATATCAGAATATATGGAGTAAAAGAAGGAGAGGAAAAGGGTATGGCATTAGTCATTACTTTCGTGGAGGATATGCTAACGAAAGGTTTGGAGCTCCCCCACTCTACAATTCTGAAAATTGAGAGAGCACACCGGTCACTCGCCCCAGCTCCCCCGACCGAAGCCCCGTCAAGAGCATTTGTGGTAAAGTTCTCCAGCTACAGAATGAAAGAGAATGTGCTTAGAAGAGCTTAGCAGAAAAATGGTTTTGACTTCCAAGGGAAAAGGGTTCATTTGGATCACAATTTAGTAAGAGTGTTTATGTACATATACAATGTTTGTGCTACCGTTCCCTGTAGCACCGATGGTGTGTATATATATATCTAGATACGACTTAAGTTTGCAATGGCTAGAAATATACTTAAAGGTAATAAATGCAGTTAATTACAGTATCAACCTATAATGTAAACGGTATGGGAAATCCAATCAAGAGGAGCAAAGTAGTGCGAAAATTAAAAAGGGAGAGGCTGGAAGTAGATGTTTTTCAAGAGACTCATTTAACAGAACTGGAACACATTTTTTTTTCTGGGGTAAAGAAAACTACAATTCATACAATTTAGATGAAAGGAACTAGTGAAAACATCATGAGGATTATTCTACATTACATTTCTGCCAATCGATCCCTTTCACCTAAATCTTACACACTGGATCTTTAACCCAACCCTAGATACATTGAAACCTTACTATTCAGGAGAGAAGAAAACAACCAAAGATATAAAATTAATGATAGCGGAATTGGGACTCTCAGACGTATGGAGGGATTTGAATCCCACAAAGGGGGATTTTATCTTATTTTCTCAACTGCATTCGGTTTATTCTAGGCTTGATTACTCTTTTATGTTTCAAAGAGATTTATAAAGGGTGACAAGATGCAATTTGGGACCATGGACATATCGGACCATACCCCAGTGTTTGGATTTATTAGTAAGTTCTGAAAAGAAGAACACCATCTGGAGGATAAACACAGGGATACTGAATCGAATAAGGAAGCAGATAAGAACGGATATAAAAGATTACTTGGTTGAGATTGATAATGGTGAAGTGTCTCCACCAATTCTTTGGGACACATGTCAAGCTGTTCTTAGAGGACAAATTATAGGCTTCTGCTCCAAAATAAAAAAACAACGAAAAGAGAAACTAGATCTTCTGCAAATTGAATTAAAAGAATTAGAGGATAAATGTATAAATACACTGAATCAAAGAATAAAAATGGAAATCTGCCAACTTACTTGCCTACAAATTAGAGAAGCAACAAGCAAAGAACACAATTTATAAAATAAAAGACCCTATAACAAACTCCATATTAAAATTAAAAGATATACAACAATCCGTTGAAACTTTCTGTAATGGAAATTCCATTATCTAACTGTTTGACCTGTAAATTCAATTATTCATTGTAATTGTTTAATTCCTCACCAGAGAATTAGAAAAATGAGGGACAAACAAAATCAGCATATTATTAGTGAAATTACAGATGAGGAACTTAAAAAGGCAATATCAAATTTAAAACACAACAAGGCCACAGAGCCAGACAGTTATCCTTCAGAGTGGTACAAAGAAATGAAAGATCTGTTGATTCCTACAATGAAGGCTACTTACAACCATGGGCTCAAGACGGTCATAACTCCTCCCTCCTGGAGAGATTGTGGGAGCTATCGGTACACTTAGTGTACTTCACCAAGACTACAAGATCCTTACCCACATTATGGAAAAAATACTTGAAAAAATTCTCCCCCAGATAATAAGTCTAGATGATCAGATGGGTTTTATTCAGCAAAGGCAGACACAAGACAACATTCGCTGAACGTTTCATATAATTGAACATATAGATAAAAAAAATCTCTAGGCAGTATTATAGAGCCTCAATGCAGAAAAGGCTTTTGATCAAGTCAATTTGAAGTTTTCATATAGAGTACTTCAAGATTTCGGATTTCATAAGACTTTTACTGAAACTATTCAAGCATTGTACGATAACCTGATCGCAAGCCTATAAGTAAATGGAGCCATATCCAACTCATTCGGTCTGGAAAGAGGGACTAGACAGGGCTGTTCAATAAGTCTGTAACTGTTTGCAATGTTTATTGAAGCTTTAAGTTAAGGGATCAATCAGGATAATGATATCACAGGTATCAAAATGATAGGTCAAGGTATGATATCTTAATTTACTTGTGGAGACCAGAGATTTAAATTCTTAAACTACCTAGATACTTTTAGTTATATTTCAGTTATGAAGTGAATATCCCAAAGACCTAGATAGTGAGTTTCAATTACAGCCCTAATGGGATTCAGAACACATGAGATGTTTAGGAGTGAACATCCAAGGATTCAATTTCAAACCCTTCCATTAGCATAGATAGAGATTCAATTTCAAACCCTTCCATTAGCATAGATAGAGATAAAATGCAGGAAACAAGAGAAGGTTTGTCTAAGCCATGATCCCTATTCAACACCATAATTTGGTAACTATCCAAAAAAACTAAACGTCTTGCAGTCTTTTTGTGTTTATCCTGCATATGTCTATTAACACAATTTTTCTGCACTACCATTTCTGCTATTGTTTTTTTCTCTTCCTCAGGAGTTTTCCACATTTGTGGAAATGTTAAACAGCATCTTGTTCTTAATGTACAGAATATTACTATTCTACAAAGAAGGATCCATGTCCTCAACCTACATATACATGATCCATTCACACAAGAGAACAGTTGGCTCATTCCAGCAGAATCCAAAGACGATAACTGATCTGCAAAGCCCCTTAAATGCAGCTTGCAGGTTTAATCTTATTTTGAATTTTTCCCAACTTCCAGGAGATTATCATTATTATGATAACTTTTCTTCTGTCACTTCAACAAAGCAGCCCCTGATGAATGTGTTGTGATTTATCACTGTTGAAATTTATCACAGGCCTTTTACATTTTGGTTTTAATCAAATCAATCTTTAAGTAAGATATGAGTTATACTTTGCTTATGTGTCTTATGACAACATTTTATGAAAACATTAATTCACCAAAGTGTCCTGTTTGATTTATAAGGGGTAAAAGTTTAACCAGGCAAGTTATCTGTAGTCAACGGAGATTAAGTAAACACTTAATCACGTGTATTTAATACATACTTTTAAAGTGTTAACAGCAGTAAACATTTGTTATAGAAGTCACAATTAATCCAAGTGAACTTCAGGTTGTACAGTTCCAGCTGTTTACGATTGAGGACTCTTCATGTCACATTGGTACACACTTACCTGTGAATGTTGTGACCACTGAAGTTGATCCATTTACTAATTCTAGCTAAATAATTTATTAGTTATGTGTTGGAAATGTTACTTCTACCTCTAAAAACATCAGAAATTAAGTATAAGGTAAGAAACTGAATCTGAGAATATAGATATCAAACACAAAGCTGTTGGTCTGTTGTCTCAGAGGAAACAGCCAACTGTCCCTCACCGCCAACATTACTGCAACAACCTGCTCATGTAGATACATGCTGCACAACATCAAGCACAGGTTCTGGTCCAGGCTCTGGTCATCTCACGCCTAGACTACTGCAACTCCCTTCTGGCTGGTCTACCTGCTATTGCTATCCAACCTCTGCAGCTCATCCAGAATGCACCTTAATTCCCTCACATTACTCCGCTCCTCTGCTCCCTTCTCTGGTTACCAGTGGCTACCCACATCCGTTTCAAAACACTAGTACTTGCTTACCTTGCTGTGAATGGATTGGGTCCAGTTTACATCCAGGCAGAGGTGGCAAAAGTACTCACATTCTTTACTTAGGTAAATGTGCAGATACTTGTGTAAAAAAAGACTGTTAGAAGTACTGATTTAACTCCTTTACTCGAGTAATAGTAAGAAAGTACAGGCTCTGAAATGTACTGAAGTACAAAAGTAAAAATAATTTTTTAACTTCAATGATAGACAATGCCTCTTTTGATAGCTCTGTAAAATGAAAATAGTTGATACTTTTCCTCTTTTGTTAACAACCTGGACAGAGCTGGTACAGAGAAAAATAAATCACTGGACAAAGTCTAGTTTTGCTGCCAAATTCCAGACAGAATAATAAAGTCTGAACTGAACCAGTTAGTTACTTTATCTCTCTGTTAAGTCTGTTTTTCCTCCACAATAAGTATAATCTGACAGCTTTTATTCTCAGTTCTTACCTTTTACTTACTTTAATTTCTACTTGTTTTAATAGGAGTAGTGATATTTTTAAAACACAATTTGAAAACTATTAAACTAGAATAAGGTAATGGATTGACTTCAGCAGTCACACCCTTCACAGGAAAGCTTTTACAAATGTGACGATAAGAGTCTTCAGTTAACAGCTGGAATGGTCCAACCTGGTTCTATAACAAATGTTTACTTAACACTAGTATATATTGGATATAGAAACTCTTAAGCTAAGATATTAAATTTGTATTTTTTTAAGTATGTGTTTAACACATGTAACCAAAATGATTAAACTGTACTAAGTTTCCATTGACTACAGAATTATGTCCTGATTGATTATAAATCAAGACCAGTGTCTCCATGGCCCGCTTTCTCTGTTTTGCCACATGTCTCAGCCTTGCCCTCTTTTCTTCTTCAGCTGTCTGGATTTTAGTCTGCTGAGCACTGCCAGATTCTTGGGAGCCATACTCGCTATGCTAACAGTATTCTCCCCCGCATTCGTGCTATTTCGATGCTGTGGAAGAGCAGTGGTCACCAACCTTTTATAGCACAGGATCACTTTTTAATTCAAAACGTGAGCCGAGATCTATCACCCCGATATCTTGCAAAAAACCCACTTAGGAGGGTCATATTTATTATTTTAGTATGAAATCATGCATCTTCGGCTCCTGCAAATATTTCACAATAAAAAACTTTTTAAACAAAAGAATGGATTTGGTCATCAGAAACGCTGGAATGCTTTTCTTTTGTGTTTGTGACATAAATTCAACAGATAAACATTCAGACTCAGTTGAAAGATCTTTTTATTCCGCAGTGAAACACAAAGTTGATCTGTCTATGTCACAAACGTATTTACAACACTTCTTGAACCCGTTTCAAACGGTTTCAAAGTAAAAGCACTCCAGCGTTTCACTTCTGAATCCATTCATTTGTTCAAACAGGGCTTTGAGAGTTGTCGACAGACCAGAAGATGCAGGACTTCATACCATAGAGTCCTGACATTTAGTTCAATGCATAATCCGACTTGTATTGAAGGAAATACAGGAAATAAACCTGCTGCTCCGCCGCCAGTAGCGGACACACAGCGGTTGTGAGCAACAGACAACCGACCCACAGCTGATCTGCCGCGCGACCGCAGACTGTGAAGCCTTGTTTATGCTTCTGCGTCGCGTCGACGCCATACCAGAGAGTCCAGAGAGTTACAGAGATCGACGGTGAAGACTGTCAAGATCGACCGGTAGATCGCGATCGACGGGTTGGCGACCACTGCTTTAGAGCTATTAGGGGAATGTCTTGTTGAATTCAAGGCCCCCTTCAAGCGCGTGCACACGTTCGCAGCTCACTATGGCTCCGCGCCGCTCTCGTGTATAAAACCAAAGTCCTAATAAAACTATTTCTGGTATAACTCCATGTACGACTCCCCCCCCCCCAAAAAAATAAATAAATAAATATTTTTTTCATTTATCGGATCTACACGATTCACGTAGGTCACCTATTTTGGATTCAAAACGGCAGATTTCGCCGAAAGGTGAGTGATTTTCATGCCTGAAAAATGATATCGTTAACTAATACTGGTAATGTGAATTTATGTAGCATATAACATTAACTTTTTCAAAGGAACTGGACGTGTTTGGGTGCAAAAGAAACAATACTAACCCTTTTTTGTCGATCTGTCATCATCTGTGTTGGTTGCGTGTAACTGCAGTTACATATGAATGAAATGACAGATCCCGACAGGGAAACGCTTGGTGAAATAACCGATTGAAAACCAGCCGTGAGCTGATGGCGGTAAGGAATTTGGCGGTGGCGGCCGCCACCAAATTCTCTATGCAGGAAAAACCCTGTATTATTATTATTTTTTTGCCATTTCCATGCATTGTATTATATCGACTTCAAACATCTGTGATATAAAATCCTTAAAAGATTTTGAATCAAATTACATCTTACTGCTTTGAGACTTTTCTCAAATTGAAGCAACAGCACGCAGCTGACCAGCATCATGAACAGATGAACAGGACTGCAAGGGCCCATTGTTAGTAAATGTCATTACCTTTCTATTATGTGATCATGTGAAAGTATCATCATTTTTGTGAAAAAAGGATTTTTGATTAAATGCAGTTTGTAAAAGATATAGCTCATGTGAAAGTAAAGACTTTATAGATAGTTTAGAATGGAGACCTTATTGCAGATTCTTACCTTCCAAGGAACTGCACCTCTCCTCTGTGGTGATGAGGAATTGACTTGTACTTGCCAATCTCTCCATCTGGACGTGTGACATTCAAACCAGAATAGTGAACCCTGGATAGAGAGCAGGCTGCATTACTATTCACAACATTAAACTAACATAAAAAACAACTAACCTAAAACTAACTGTGCCATATGCCTCAATTAAAATGAGGCTATGTGCCTTGTTTATTTTTACATTTATTTGTCTGTTATCACAGGTTGGATTAAGTTAACTATTAAAATGGTTGAAAATTTACTTAAAGACAATGGGTGGTATTTTTAATTTGAGCTGTGGTCCCAGTCATGAGCCAGTCTTAAATGTAGAACTTTTCAGTTCTTTTTTATGATATAATGCTCAATGTCTCACTACAACAGTAAGCCTTGCTGTGTCCTTCAAAGGAACTTATCTCATTTTGCTAATCGTTTTTGGTAGTGCCACCTGCCATAAATAGTGTGTGTCGTCACATGCTGCTGGTGTGCTGTTTAACAAAGGGAATGTGCAGACTTCTTCCTGTCTCCAGACCACATGGCCTCTTCAGGATTTAGCTATGGTTCTGGAAGGGCTAAAGGCTTCCCCTAAGGATGCTAAAGTGGTTGGAGGATGCTAAAGTGGTTGGTTAATATTCTCCTACTGACAATTGCTTTTGTTGACTCACCTGTAGAACACCAGTCATGCACATTTCTAGTTTGTGGCATTCACACTTTTATGGAGTTTATGGTGATGCTTATATGCTTTTTGGGTGGTTCAGGCTACTACTTTAACTTAATTGAATAAGGGTAGGTATGCATAGACGACTCATGGTCTGCCCACAATCTGGGCCTTATTCAGGGGAGTTTCTATTCAGGACATTTGATTTGCAGTTAGTTGGTCCTCGCATCTCAGTATTGTCCACTTCTAAATGTTGGATGTCTCAGCCCAACTAGAAAATAGTGTCTCTCTGGCAGGTTAATAGATGCTAGATAAACTTTTCTGCAGCATGGGTACAAACACATTTCACAGTGAGACATTGTATGGAACATTATGAAAAAGAACTCAAGGTTATCTGAATGGCTTTGTGTCATCTACACACACATTTATGGCAGGTTGCGTTACTGAATATGGACAAACTAGTTAACCAGCCAAGTCAATCACAGCGAGTCATGCTATGCAGGGTCGAGGTGAAGTCTGAACAAAAGAGTAATTAGATTAGGAAGACACCTAACTATTTTTTTTTTATCTATTATTCCAGAAATCTCTGTTTGTGTGTAGGTGGAATGGACTGTATATCTCATGAACATTCTTCTTATTGACAATTGACATTTGGCATGTGTATTTCTCAAGGCCATTTGGTAAAAAGCTACACAATCAATATTTGTAACATTTTAATAAACAGGCAAACAGCACTTTGTAATCACAGGTGCAAGGAATGACACATGATTCACATGTCTTATATGCTGATCTTCGCCATCGGATATAGAATAATTTTATCTTTAGCAATTTGTCCTCAAAGTAGGGCGGCGAGATACGGAAAAAAATCGTATCAGGATGATTTTTTCCATATCATTCGATATCAATATATATTGCAATAAAAATTGAATAAGTTTTGTCTTTTGCACAAAACAGATTTTACTTGCTCATAAAATCATTCTGTGCCACTGCACTTTACTTGTAACTTATCAAACAAACCACTACAGTGAAAAGGTGTATGTAATGTACACACTCAGCATTATTTAATTCAATTTCTTTACCTTTCAATTCAATTTTTATTCTTTTACCTTTCTATATGTCCTTATTCTCTTGTCTAACTCATTCTGACATGCCTGCTGCTGTAACAACTGATCAATAAAGTTTTATCTTATGTTATCTTATCTTAAATGAGCCACTGCACTGAGGCACATTACTCAACAAGTGACTCTGACACATGATGACAGCACCTTAAATGTGCATCTGACCTGGTCCTGAAGCATTGTTGGTTATAATTATTTAGAGGTGGAAAACCTAAAAATGTAGCAGAAACATGTATAGATAATGTTCAGTCACTTCATTGATGCAGAGCCCTCTACCTCTCTGCAGGAGCCCAAACATTAGCACATGTGCTGCTGTTCCTCCTACACTCTGTTCTGTGTGGGTCAACCCAACCTGATGTGGGTGCATCTCTATTCCAGTCAGGTGATTGGTTCGGCGTGGTGCTACTGTCATTATTATTGGCTGTTCGTGTTGAAACACGGATGGGATGAGTTCTATCAGTGATATATATCGACATGAATTTAAATCAAGCTGAATTACAGAGTTTTGATTTTGAAAAGTTGTGAAATTGGTTTCGAACATTATATTGATTGTCTAGACCTCTGAAATATATTGAATGCTTTGTATGATAAAATAACCCTGTTACATAACTGATTAAACCTTTATAAAAGCCACACACAAATAAACATAATTAATTTCCATTCCATGAAAAGCATTGACTATAACAAAAACTGAATCTGATTGATCATGGATGCACAGCTTCATTGCAGATAAAGCAGGTAGGATGAATTGGAGTTTTACAGTATACTGTGTGCTTGTGTGAGTAGGGCTCACAGTTATCATGTGTAATATCAAGGGCCCATTGGAGTGCAATGTTGAATTTGATGAGTTTTGGACATGTGATATATTTAAGTCTAGGCGATATGGAAAAAAAATCAGTCGATATAAATGTATATCACAATATTATATCAAATCATGCATGCTATTATATGTCTTTGCTGGAACATTCTTTCAACATAATTTGCATTGCACGCTTATCTGCTTCTTGTCAGACATTAAATAGCCAAAATATCTCCACACTACCAAATTCCTCTGACCCCTCTTTTCAACAATGTTCTCGTCTTTTGAGTCTTGGGCTATGTCCGTTGGGGTATCTTCTTTGGTAATGCTGTCGCTCAAGTTTTCAACATTTTCTGTTGTAATTCTCTCTTTCATCTTGCTCCTACTCCTAACATACTGTGCACAGCTGCAGTAGCTCAAACATTAGAAGGTGTACTGCTGCCAGCTGCGACTCTGTGCTGTGTACATCAACCTAATCAACCATATTTTCTATTTCTATACAGGAAACGTTTTTTCACAATAAATATCTTTATCGTTTTATCGCCCAGCCCTAGATACATTCAATACTACTCAACTTTGAATAAACAGGCGATTATGACAATAGCATGCTCACAATAATTCAGGACAACTACCAGACAACAGATTGTCCAGTTTTGGGGTACTATGTCGAGCTTCACCAAACGCAATATACAGGCAAACAACTTTTTGCAGCAGTAGTGGAGCAGCCTCAGTGTTCTGCAGACTGATTCGTGCAGCCAGTCTCTACTTGCTGTGCCTCAAATACTACAGGTTGTTTTTAGGCATCTATGGTGGTGGCAGCAAATGGCCAGAGGCATTATGTTTTTGTGTTGTATGTCCGTTTGTCCCATTCTTGTTGTCCAATATCCCAAGAAACTTGAGGGAATTTCTTCACATTCACTTGGACTCAAGGATTGACTGATTTATTTTTGGTAGCCAAATGTCAAATGTCAAGGTGGCCTCACTATGTATGTCTGTTTTTCTTGAACATATACAACTTGAGGGGATGTCTTTAAATTTTGTATAAAAATTCAATTTGGACAAATAGATGAACTAATTCGATTTTGAGGTTGAGGGCCAAAAAGTAGAAATATATAAATATATTCCAAACTTGATGGTGGAGTCATATAACCTCCACCATCCAGTGCAGTAATTCTATTTGCAGTTTCAGAGGGAAAGCTACAACCAACATTACTACAGGCTAGACAACAAACTGCTTAAAACCTGACAAAATACACTTAAAAAAATTAGGCCACTGAGGGCGGGATTCAAAACCACACCAAAACTCTTTTAAAAAAGTAAAACATTTTATCACAGGCTGATCCAACTTGCATGGATTTCATCACGGCAACCTATAATGTGACTCAGTGACCCACATATATGCATGTGGTGTCATCCAAGTGTCCGTAAGCCCCGACATTCCAATTCGAATCAATTCGTCATTTAGCCTATATGTTCTCCTCTGGATCGTCCTCTGCACACAAGCTCTCGTCCAAGGATACGTGCAAGGTTGCGCACTAGGTTGTGCTTACTAGTTCTGGTAGCGTCGCTACTTCTTGGTAGTGGTCATTTAGGCAAAAAGGTGTAAACGACGGCATTTCGAGTCAAATTTGAATGTCGGGGCTTATAGACATTTGGATGACACCACAGGAGAATGGAGGCATTTTCTGTTTTTTTCTGTTGTTTTTTTTAAACTTGCAGAAGGGGTCCCTAGTTACTTCAATTTTATTGTATTTTACTGCAATGCTGTTTACCCCTGAAACTCCAAAAATGTTCTTTGGACTCAAAAACTTCACCTACCCCTCCATTGGCATAGTGGTTACTAGAAATTTACTGAATTTACATTTTTCAGTGAACTATCCCTTTACCATTTGCAAAGCATTTCCCCTGATGCTCAGCATAGTATTCCCTTGGTGATTTTAACACTTGTAGTCTTAAAATGTCCCTTTTAGCAGCTAACCTTGCCAACAAGACATGGCAGAATGCTGGACTTGTGCTATCAATCAATCAAGTTTTTATTTGTATAGCCCATATTCACAAATCACAATTTGTCTCATAGGGCTTAACAAGGTGCAACATCCTCTGTCCTTGACCACCAACAAGAGTACGGAAAATCTACCCAAAAAAAAGCCTATTAACGGGGGAAAACCTAGAAACCCCAGAGAGACCAAATGTAAGGGATCCCTCTAATAATAATTCAAGATCCTGCTCCTCACATATAAAGCCCTTAACAATCAAGCCCCTGGAAAAGCTCATGACACCATATTATCCAAATAGATCATTCCCAAAACACAGGCTCTCTTGCGGTTCCAAGAGTCTGTAAGAGTAGAACAGGAGGTAGAGCATTCAGCTACCAGGCTCCTCTCCTGGGGAACCAGCTCCCACTCTGGCAACACTGATTCCATTTGTAAAAAGGCCAATAAGAGACTGTTTTTCTTGAGGAAGCTAAGGGGTTTTAACGTTGACAGTTCACTCTTGAAAATGTTTT